TCAAGGGAGAAGAGCAGAGAGCGGGACCCTACCCAGAAAAGCAGTGATGTCTGAAATAGAGGCAGAGATGATGACGTGGAGCGATGGAGCAGCTGGAGACTTTAGATCCAGAGAGGGAGAGCGACTATGTGCTGAAGACTTGGGGGGTATGGGGGTAAGGATTGCAGGGTATACCCTTTGGTTGGTCGATGATGCATGGAGGGGATTGTGACCATGGCAATGAGACGATATACTATAGAATGAATGTAAAATTAATGTTCTCCCATGTAAACTATCACATAATTCACAATAAAACATTTAAGAATAAAAAATCACTTTAAAAAACAGAATTTTGTAAGACATAGATAGCTATCTATATTTTATCAACAGACTCTTCAAAGCATTGGAAATTGAAAGGTTTTATGTCATCGTTGTATGTTGTAACATGACAATGATAAGTTTTTTTTTTTATAAATAAAACTTGCAAATATAAGAAAAAGTTTTACCAAGTTGAACTAATATGCCAGATATTACACATTCCTTATGTATAACTATATCCAGGATTACTCAGAAGATGAAGACAAGTCATCGGTTACCCACCCATCCCCATCCACCAAAAACAAAGTTATTCATGGCAGCATTATTTACAAATACCAAAAAATTTGTAGCCAGTATAAATATTTATTAATTGAAAAATGGTTTATGTATGAGGTCATTTTAACAGGATATTATAAACTTAGAAATAATCATTGATGAGAATATCCCCATGTACAAAAACTATAATACAAATCTTCAGTGAGGCAAACTGGCACAGTGATAGTCAATAATGGGTTCAAAATAATGGGTTCAAACAAGTCAAGAAGGGCACAGGACTGAGCAGTGTTTTGATCTGTTGTACAGAGGGTCATCACGAGTTGGAACCAATTCAATGGCACCTAACAACAGCAACATAACTTTAAAAGATGTGCTCATATGAATAAGAACTATAAAAGAATGAAGAAAAAGTTGCTTTCTGGTTTAGTTTTAATAATGCTCTACAATGCTCAGTGTTCAAATGTTATAAATACACTATTAGAAATCATCTTGTGTATTAACAAAAACCAAAGAGAATTCATATTTACTTGATCTAAAATTTGGGATCAAGATGAGGCTGTCTGCTTCATAAAGATTTACAGTTTTGGAAACTCTACACAGGGTCACTATGAGTTGGAATCAACTCGATGACAGTGGGTTTAGTTAGTTTGGATTTTGCACTAAAATCAGAGAAGAAAATAGTTCTAAACATTGAAAGATAAAGGCTTATGAAGAGAGTGTACTTCTATTACATTGCATGAATCAGGATAGATAAAGCACAACAAATTACACTGAATTTTGAAAATCTATATTAATACAAGTTGTCCATGGTTCTGGAGGCAGCATTATTTTGATTACCCCTTTTTTCTAATTTATTTGCTAGTTCAGTTTTTAGAAAGAGTTTTGTATTTCTTTATTTCCTATCAAAGACTATTCTTCAAAGACATGGAGAGAATAAAATCTTCAAAATCGTTGTTGTTGTTGTTGTCAGGTGCCACCAAGTTGGAACCGACTCATAGCGACCCCATTCACAGCAGAACGAAACAATGTCCGATCCTGGGCCAACCTCACTACCGCTGCCATACTTGAGTTCATCAATGCTGCCACCTGGCCAATCTATCTCGTTGGGGGTCTTCCTCTTTTTCTCTGACCCTCCATCTTACCAAGCATGATATGCTTCTCCAGCGACTGTTCCCTCCTGACAATATGTCCAAAGTATGAGAGATGAAGTTTGGCCATCTTGGCCTCAAAGGAGCACTCTGGTTGCACTTCTTCCAAAACAGATCTATTGGTTC